GGCGCTGATAAAACGGCATTTGTCACAGCAAAAAGAGCTCCTCGAGCGAATGAGTGCGAATAGCTCGCAGTTTTCTATAGCAGAGAAGCGGAACCTTTTGAGTAAAATTACCGCCTTATCGCGCGAATTAAAGGCTCTGACTCCTCGTGCCTCGGCTGCCTCTCCAAGCTCGGCTTTACACACTGAAACAGATGAAAATGGCGAGGACTTGAGTGGTCTAAAGGCTGAATTGTGTGCTTTAGAGGCTGAAGCTGGCGGTCGAGGACGTGGTGGTCGATGGTCTACAGGTCGCGGGTACAGAGGAGGCCGTGGAAGCCGTGGACGTGGGGGATTCATCCGAGGCTCCCGGTTGCCGGACGACGACCCTGTGGTATTGCAACTGGAAGCGGGGAATTCTAATTATGCTGACATCAAAAAGATGATCGGCGGTGAGAAGATGAAGGCGACGAAGACTTTGCAGCATTGGCTGTATGACAAGAATAAAATGCCTCCACCATCAACGGACCAAATCCACGTGCTGGTGGAACTTCCAAGTATGGCACCTCCCGAGCCTCGAGATCGTCAACTTGTTGTGGGCGATGTTCATAGCGCGTGCTGGTGCGATGGTGGTATATGAGAGCGGTGATCTCAAGAAGCGCTTTTTATTTGCTCACAATGTGGTGGCTCAAGGATCACAGCAAGATTTTGTGCTCATTCTCGACCAGCCGACAACATACTACATCGTGGATGGCGTTAAACCTGCGTATTATGATGCGAAGACGATTCTATTGACGTCGCCGCGCCGCTCCATCTGGTACGAGTTCAACAAGACGAATTGCCGATCCTGCTACATGCCAGTGTGGTCTTTGAAGGAGATTCTAAAATGTCGTGAGCTGATCTACTCGGATACACCAGTGGCCGTCGTGCAGGATTGTTTTCGTCGATGGGGTGGTATTGCACGCTATGTCTTGCGATTTGCGCAAGTTGGCGACCAGCAGGTGTTGCTTGAAAAAGCGATGGATATTGTTGATCTCGACGGGTTGGTGAACGCCTGTGGTCAACTGGATGCGAACGACGCTCAAGTGTCGAATCGATTGCTGCATTATCGTGTCAACAAAATTTTTGACAGCGAGTACTTTGTCTTTGCATCGAAATACGTTCAGCAAGCGGTGTACAAGCGTCTGTACAAGAAGGATAAGCGGAAACTGCTCGAGTTCATTGCTGCCTCGGATGGAGTTGGTGCTCTTGCTGTGCTTCGTGGCCACTTGTTCGAAGGGCATGTGCATTAAGTGCTGCCGTGAGGTGGAACGTTTCAAGTTTGGCGTCTGGTCGACGACAACAACGCGTATGATGATGATGATGATATCGTGGAAGGTGAATGGGACAGCGAAGACGAGGATGCTGACGATGACATGAATGCAGATGATGACGTTGCGATGGAAGAATGTACTGGTGTGGCGTTGGTCGACGATGGTGCCGCAACTGTCATTTCCTTATCGAAATCCGAGAAAGCTGTCGTTTTCAGTCATGGCTGTGAAATTGTCGCTGCTGCTAACACGAGTTACCTACAACCAACGGTGAAGAATTACCAGTCGGTCGATGCGATCATCAAGCCGGATTTATGTTCCAGGTGACAGGTGCACACAGACACCCCTGCAAGCAGAAAGGCCTCCACGA